TGCGTGAACCGGGCGGGAGGCGGAGCTTGCAGCAGTGAGCCGAGAATCCCACCACTGCACTCCAGCCTGGGCGACAGAGCGAGACTCCATCGCAAAAAAAAAAAAAAATTATTTTTGATTCTGTGTTTAATGCCTGTCCTCCTCCACCAAGACAGACACTGTGTTGCTTGCCACTTACCCACTCCTTAGCACAACCCTTTCACACCACGGGAGCCATTTCAGTGTGTGTTGCTGAAAGAGTCAGCCAGCCACTGCCATAGGGCGCAAAAGGCAACCAGAAAGGGGAAGGCAGAAGTCAGGGATATGGGCCCCCTGCTGTGCCCAGGCCAGCTCTGAACCATGCAGGGTGACCCACAGAGCCAGTAGGCCACGCCTGGTTAACTGTGCCCAGTGTTTCCCCTTGGCCTCTCACAGGTCCCCACCAAGCCATTTGGGTAAGATCACAGCCCTAGGAAGACACTACATTAGTGCCAGCCACTGAGCAGCAGAGAGCCAGGGAGAGGTGGGGGAAGAGGAGGGCACAGGGGGCACCTGCCACAGGAGATGTCAGCAAGGAATGAGATGTGTGCAGTCCCCTGCAGGGCTGGCTCTCTCGTGTACTTCAGTCTCATATGTAATTTTAAAAAATGGAATAATGGTTCATATTGCCAAGCTTGAGAAGACGAAGTCATTGTACATGTAGTGAAGCACTTAGAGCCATATTCAGTCACAGAGAGCTCGAGGGAGCTCCCGCACTGGAGTAAGGGACCCTCCCTGCACGCCGTGCACACACAGGAGTGAAGAGAAGGGAGCCCAGTGGGGCAGGGGAGGCCTCACGAAGACTAGGAAGCTGACAGCCCGCTCTTCCAGCTGTGGAGCATGCGGCAAGCCCTACGCGGCTTTAGTTTTGTTTTCTGTAAAATGGAGGATGATACACCAGAAAAGACCATCCGGGAATGTGAGGTGCTCCTTACCTTAAAGACACGATAGAGAGAAGACTCCGGGCCGCCCTGGGTGGAGCTTGCAGGATGGATTTGGTAAACTGCCCACACTCAGCTCTCCATGAGGATTCCCAGGCGCAGCACAGAAGGCCTGGAAGTGGGGATTAGGAGTGCTGGTTGACGCTGCAAAAGAAGAGAAGCAACAGGCAAGAGTGAGAGAAGGGGAGGGAGAAAAAGAGGGCACGGTGCAGGCAGATAGTTTATGCTCAGGGGAGTGAAGAGGAGGCTCGTGCTGGAGAGGGCCAAGGCTGATGGGTGCTTCTGGGGACTCTGGAATGAGCAGGGCTTATGGCAGACAGCACAGTCCCACCCCCGGCCACCTTCCCCAGGATGACACAGGCCCTATCAGAAAGGCAAACAGTGACCAGTGATTCCCCCCGGAGGACGGCGGGGACGAAGCCACCAGCCCGCCGGAAGTGCTGCTGTGGTCGTCTGCCCCCTGCCATTGGGAGCATCTGCTTCAGAGATGGCCGGTGCCTCTGGGTCCCTGTCCTGAGCGGCCACCTGGTCCAACCCCCAACTCTCCAGTGAGGAAGTGGCCTCCTCAGGCAGGAGGGTAGAGTGTCCCACCACTCAGCAGAGCTTCCTCCCTTCCAGCGGGGGCTTTCACAGCCAGAAAATGTCATTTTTTCCCCCAGGGTCTGGAAAACCCAGAATAGCACCTGTTCATGAAACACAGACACCCTGTGGTGGTAAATGCAGGGAGGGGAGGAAGGCAGGATGGCCAGCGCACAGCCAGGGGAAGCACTCAATCTGTTCATGCCTCCATCCACCCCTCCCTCACCACCTGCACTGCAAAAGCAGCCCCGATATCCAGGTGGGGACACATGCCCCTGAGGGCTGCTGCCCGGTGGCCTGTCAGTTGCTGGATTCACACTTTAAAAGCTGCAACGAGGCCTACCCTTGCACTCAGCTCAGCCTTTGGTGTCACAATTTAGGAACAACCTGGAGATCTTGCACAGAATGCTGATTCCCAGGCCTTGCCCCCCAATATCCTAATTTGCTGGGTCTGGGGTGGGGTCCAGCGAGCTGCATTTTAACTCTTATGACTCTGCTGTGGGGTCCTGAGAACACGCACTGGAAGATGTTGGATGGGAGGCCCCTCTGGCTCCACAGCCCACGTGCCCACCCCTGCAACCCTCCCTGCTTTGAGGCCCACGAGGGGTGTATTCATCTCTCGTTATGTGGGCCGACCTTTCAACCTGGCTGCTTCTCCCATCCCAGTCTTTGGCTCTCAGGCTCTGGGCTCACTACTGGGGCTTTTAGCAGCAGCCCTGAGCGAGTGAGCAGCTGCTTGTCACCTGAGTGAAGGGCTGGAAACTAGGCCATTGTGCTTGGCTGGGCAGATCCCACCCTCACCAGCTGCTCCCACCGCCTCCTACGGAAGCCTGCCCCCACGGTGCCCTGGGCCTCCCGGCACCCCCGCCGTTGCAGGGTGAGACCGGGTCCACAGCTCTGGGGCAGAAGGCACTCAGAGAGAGGCTCTTGGAGGAACGTGGATGCGGGAGGCCGGGTGCCAGGACCTCAGGGTTCAGAAACAGGGAAGGGGCGGGGTACATGACAGATGGAGGCAAGTCCTGGAGAGCAGCAGGATGCCACTCAGAGAGACCAAGGGCCTCTTCCTTGGCCTCAAAAGAGTCAGCACCCTGGGCTGAGAGGGTGGGATGTGGTCGCTCCATGCCGCCCCCACCAGTCCGTGGCGCACTTCACATCTTCATCTCTACCAGTCTTTTTCTGTCTTTTCCTCTTCCCCTCCTGTCCCTTTCTCTCCTCGTGTCTCTCTGTCTTTCCCCCTTCCTCCCTCTGTCTGTTTTTCACTTATTCTTCGTCTCACTCTCCGGTCTTGCTCCCTTTCTGGGATCTCTCTCCTGCCTTTTCCTCCTTGCCTGTCCCTCTCTCTCTCTCCTTTCTCTCTCTGTCTGTCTAATTAGACTTTCCTTGACCTTTGCTGCCCCACTCCATCTCTCTGGCCCAAACACTCTGACTCCCTTGATGCGTGACCACACTGGTTCACCTCCTCCAGGCTCTGTCTCTGTACCCATCGGACCACAGCCTCTTGGTCACCAGCCCTGGACAGTGTCACTGTGTGGCTCCGTTGTGCCCAGTGCTGACTCCTGATGGGCTGGGCTATGGGAACACACGGATGTGGCCGCATAGGGCCTTTGGTGCTCACATACGGCTGCAGAGGGTACAGGGTGGAGGTGAGGAGGGTCACTGGGAAATCAGAGTAGCCTCTCACCTGGCTGGCCCTGGAGGCCCCTGTTCCCCAGCCGGCACCTCAACCTCAAATGCCCTGATCCTGGTGCTGCTGATTCTCATCCTTGGGCAAGATGCTGGCCTCCACCCCTAGCCCCACCCTCACCTGCCCACCGTCCCGGCCAGCAAGCCTGAGAGGAGCGGGCTTTGACCAAGCCAAGGACAACTCACAGCCTGAAGATGGCCATGGGCCCTGCCTGTGGGAGGGAGGGGAAAGGAAAGAGGAGGAGAGACTCCCAGCTCCCTCTTGGCACCCCCGCCCTTTCTAAGAGCCTTCGGTGATGCGCTTTCCTCCTTGTTCTCCCCAGAAAACTGTGGGAGAGGCAGAGTCCACGGACCACCAGGTCCTGACCACCACCACTCTTGCGTCTCCCCTTGTTTTCTCTTAAAAACTGACGGCAGAGTTGGGGGTCTCCAAGTCTCCTGGGCAGTGGGCACAGAACAGAAGCTGAGGTCATGGAGGAAGTGGGTCCTGCTCAGAGCTCATGTCACCATCCCATGGCCACTCAGCAGGCGTTTTCTGTGCCCTGATGTGCTGGGCAGGCAGGCCGGAGGACCATGGGAGCAGAGAGGGATTGCTTGCCAGCAGTGGGCAGTGTCGGGGCAGTGTGCAGGGGCTGTGCCATAGCCGGTGGGAGGAGACTGGGGTGAGTGGGTGTAGAGTGGGCAAACGTCAGCTCCAAGAGCCCAATCTAACACGCTTGGTCTGCTTCTCCCAAAGGGAAAGCAATGCCCAGGGGACATTGGGTCCCCTGCTTTGCCAGGCCTGGACTCCTGCCTCGCTGCACATGGCCCTGGGCTCAGAGCACCCCAAAGGAGGGTGAGGCAGGGTGAGGGGGCTGGGAGGGTTCGGCCTCAGACCCTGTAGTGCAGAGTCCCCTGGATTGGGCTAGACCAGAGGAAGGCGCCTGCTTAGCTGGGAGAACTGGCATGTGACCGCCCACACTCACACACACTCTGAAGCTCGGGATGTTCAGAGGCAAACCCCCCAGGGTTGGTGGCAGCATTTCAGAGGTAGCAAGGCCCTTGGGGAGCAGGGACTCCAGCCTCCTCCCTTTTCAGAAGGGCACACGGAGGCCCCAGGAGTGAGTGGGCGAGCCAGAGTCACACCAAGTTCGCAGGAGGGCCAGGACCAGAATCTGGCCTGCGTGTCACGCTGTCCCCTCACGTTAAGCGCATTTGTCATTTACTCTTAAGAGGCCATGCCTCCCACCACAGTCTCCCCTGAGGGCTGGGGCAGTTGGAAGGAGCTGGGCTGCAGAAAGCCCCAGGGGCTTGAGGGGCTCTGCTCCTTACTGCTCAGCCTACAGCAGAAGGGACCCAAGGGAGGACTCAGCCACCTCAAGACCCAAATGAGAAAGTGAAATTTAAACCTGGGAGAAACACAGGCTCCTAGCAGTTCTCTGAAATAACAGAATAAATGTGTTTACTGTATTATTTATGTTGAAAGCTTTGCTTGGGATAATCTGAGGTTAAGAAGGAAGGAATTGGGATTTGGAGTCGGAAGATCCGAGTTCAGCCTCCCTCTACCCCTGTGTCCTGGGCCACCAAAGCCTCTCCTGGCCTCAGGGTTTGGGCTCTGAAAGGGCTACTGTGGGAGATAGGAGGAGATGGTCCTCTTGGGGCATTAAAGGGAGAACCCTGGGGATGAGTAGCCTGAGGGGCCCTGCACCCGTCCTGGCTGGGAACGGAGGCCAGCGGGAATGGGTGTTGGAGGGTGCTTAGGGGGCCGCCTGACCTCACACCCTCCCTGCCTGCCCTCAGCTGCGTGGTGGACGAGATGGACTTCTCCAGCATGGAGCTGGACGAGGCCCTGCGCAAGTTTCAGGCACACATTCGTGTGCAAGGAGAGGCCCAGAAGGTGGAGCGGCTCATTGAGGCCTTCAGGTAAGGCCACTTCCCAGCTCCACTCCCCAACAGACCCCAGGTTGGGGAAGCCGGGCCGCTGTGAGCCTGGGAGACAGGAGATGTCATCAGGAGGGTTGGACATTGGGCCAGAAACACCCCTTCTGGTGTGGGCAGGATAGGCTGGGGAGAAAGAAGTGAAGGAAAGAAAAGGGACCGACCCCTTGAGCTCCCCAGGCTAGAAAGGTGGGGCATTTGGGGGTGTGGGGAAGAAGACCAGGGTATGGGACAGATGGTGGTCTCCCTGGACCTAAAGCCTTTGGAGAGTTGGGATATCCCCTGGATACCCCCTCCTTTGTTCGGCCTGGGGGAGGGTGAGCGGGGGCTCAGTGTCCGCTCTGCATCTGACCCGCCCACAGCCAGCGCTACTGCATGTGCAATCCCGAAGTGGTGCAGCAGTTCCACAACCCCGACACCATCTTCATCCTCGCCTTCGCCATCATCCTCCTCAACACCGACATGTATAGCCCCAACATCAAGCCTGACCGGAAGATGATGCTGGAGGACTTCATCCGAAACCTTCGAGGTGAGGAGGTGGGCACTGGGGCAGGAGGGCAAGACCATGGCTCAGGCCCGGTCTGTGCAGCGTGCATTCTGTGAGTCTGAGCCCCATCGCAGATCGTCACCTGCTCTCTGGGCCTGGTCACCCATAGCAAGCTGGGAACATTACTTGTGTGCCAGGCGGCTGGGGCGTTTCCAAGAGCCACCGCCACTGCAGAGCAGCAAGCACCCTTGGGCAGTGCCTCTTGCCCTCCATGGAACGTGGTTGGCCTCTAGGCCCGTGACAGCAGAGTTGCTGGCTCAAGTGGTGCCAGCCCTTCCCCTCCACAACTTATGAGGAAGGAGCCAGGAACAGGGCCTTCAGGTCCTGGGTCCATTCAAGTCAGCCTTGCAGATAACTTTATGGCACCAGCCGGCAAGTCCTCTCATCGACGCAGTGCGCTGTCTGGCAGGGAGCAAACCAGGACTGGCAGACTGTGATGTGTGCTCAATTGATTTTATTTTTTTTAGCCTTTAAAAGAATCAAAGTTATACATCCACATAATTTAATAAAGTCAAATAATCCTACAAGGCTTATCACAGAAAAAAATTAGTCCCTGCCCCTCTCACCACTCACCTTCTCCAGAGGCAACCACTTTTGACATTTTTAGCTATTTGTGTTTCTTCTGTATCGATAAACCGCATACTTATGCTTCTCTGTTTTTTTCTATCCCTTTTTTTTAACTGGCATAAAGCCCAGACTGTGAGTGTGTGTGCCTGAAATTTGATGAATGTGTATGTTCGTGTGCATTTATGCCATCACACCCGGATCCTGATCTGGATCATTTTCACCTGCCCAGAATGTTCTCTCCTGTCCCATCCCAGTCAATACCTTTGCCCAAGAGTAACAACTATTCTGCCTTTTATCACCATTGACGAGTCTTGCCAGTCCTTGAACTTCATCTAAATAGGGCTATACAGTATTTATACTTTGGTATCTCGTCTCTTTTATACACTGCTCCTTGTTAATTATTACTTCTGTCACCCAGGCTGGAGTGCAGTGGTGCAATCTCAGCTCACTGCAACCTCCACCTCCCAGGTTCAAGCAATTCTTGTCCCTCAGCCTCCCAAGTAGCTTGGATTACAGGCGTGCACCACCACACCCAGCTAATTTTTATATTTTTAGAATAGACGAGGTTTCACCATGTTGATCAGGCTTTTTTTGAACTCCCTACCTCAGGTGATCCACCTGCCTCAGCCTCCCAAAGTGCTGGGATTACAGACATGAGCCACGACGCCTGGCCCTTGTTAATTATTTTTGTTTTAAGCATTATCTATTAATTCCCCATTATAGAATGTAAGGATTTAGCCCTCTTTCATCCACCTTCCCCGACCCATCCCACTCACATCAGCGGTCATGTTGTTAAGGTTCTGCACACGCACTCCAAAGCTGAGTCTGCAAGTGCAGAATGATTGCAACTCCCTCCTATCTCTACTTTCCTTGGAGTTAATGCTTCTCTTTCCATTTGCTTAACTCTCTGAGGACCTCCCCTGATTCAGCCCCAGCTTCCCACCCTATGTGTCAAGCTCTTCTCCATACATCCAGACCTGGGAGGTGGTGCAGGAGCATCATCTTCGGGAGTCTCTGGTCCTGCTACAGTCTGGACAGTGGCTGGACCAGGGCACAGCCGGCATCCTGGGCCCTCCTTCCCTTGCTTTCATGGTAGATTCCTGGTTCCTGCATGTCAGAGCTTCCTCATTTTTACTTTACTTCCAGAGAAAAGGCCATTTTTGAGAACTTGCATTTCTGAATGTATGTTTTTCTGTCTTTGACCTTGGTTGGGAGTTTGGCTGGGGATAGAATTCCAGCCTCAAAACACGCCAATCGGGATTTCAAAGGCATTGCTTCATTGTCTTTTAGCTGCCAGTGCTGTTCTGCCCTCCCAGCTGCTGGCCTTTTGTCTGTTACTCTTTCTCTCTCTCTGAAAGCTTGCAGGTTCTTCTGTCTGCCCTTCGTGTTCTGGATTTTCACGATGATGTGCCTTGCTACAGTTCTTCTTTCATCCCTCATGCCCAGGGCTGCATTGGTCCTTTCCATCTAGAAACTCATGTCCTCCAGTCATGGAAAGTTTTCTTAAATGTTGTATTTGATCATTTCTGCCCTCCAATTTCTCTGGACTCTCTTTCTTGAACTCCTGTTATTCTGTTGGTAGATCTCCTAGTCTGATCCTCTAACTTTTATAGTTTTATACCTGCCATCTTTGTTTACTTCCTTGACTTTCTGGAAAATGTCCCTCAGTGCCATCTTTCATGTCTCCTACCAAGTTGTTCATTCCTGATGTCATATTTTTCATTCTCAATAGCTCTCTTTTGTCCTCTCAATGTTCCTCTTTTATAGCATTTTATTCTCACTTTGTAGATCCAATATCTTCTCCCATCTCTGTGAAGATATTAATATTGGTTTGTTTGTTTGAGTTTCTCCCTGCTTGCCTCTATTTCTTCTGGAGTTCTTTTTCTGTTTTTCCCCATATTCCTTTCTCTTTCCTGGTATAGACTTTCCAAATACAGTTGATGAAATCTGGTTGTTCATTCTTATTTAAAGTGAGACACCAGAAAGCTGGTGAATAACTCTGTGAACACAGGTGGGGGCTGCTGGCTGGTGGACTTTCTTGTAGGGTGATTTAGTTAAGCCATTTCATTGGGAGATCCCCACTGCAGTATCTGAAGACATTTTTTTTCTTGTTCTGCCTGATACCCAGAAGATAAATGTCCAATCTGTTGCCCAGAATGTATGATTCTGGCTGCCAGAGTTCTGAGATCTTTAAGTGGGAAGTGGGGTTGAGGGTTAATATATAGATATCAACTTCATCCCCCACTTTTCAGCAGAGTCCCACCTTTGGCTGTGTGTGGGGTCCCTCAGCCCAGAGTTCTAGAGAATGGACTCCCAGTCTTCTGCTGGAGTGAGGAGGGAACAGGGAAGCGCAGCAGCTTTCTAACCCATTTTCAACCTGTTTTCCTATTTCCAGCCCACCTTCACCTTCGCTTTTAGGGGTTGCTGTTACACCAGCTCTAAGCCGTTTGGTGGCTGTGTGGTGTTCGAGCAGCTTCTAGCCTCTCTGCTGGTATAGGTTTCAGCTTTCTCAGGTTTGCTAAATCCATCCACTTAGTTATCCACTTTCCAGGTCCTGGGATGCCTGTGCCTTTGTTCCTGTTCTGTCTTTGTGGGTTTATGCTTTTCTACAAGATTCCTTTCTCCCAAGTATTCAGAAGCAGCAGAGGCATGCAGCCTGCCACCTTGAACTGGAGGCATCCATATACTCAGCCTTTCTCCTTGCTTTTTCTTACCCACAGCCTGATTTCCTCCAACCTCCTTGACTGCTGCATGGCTCATCTGCCTGACTTTAAGAACCAAGATCAGATGTGGAAGAAGCCAGAACAGGCAGGGAGCTGTGCATAGAAGGCATGGTGTCCTTTCAGTAGCTGGGAACACTCCTTTGAGAGATGTTTGCCGAAGTTGCTTTATTTTTAATTTTTCCATCATAAAAGAAGCATATAGTCATTAAAGAACGATTTGGAAATAGTAGAAAGAAGATATTTTAATTGCCTGTTTCTCCAAAAGAAATGTGTTTGCTTTTTGGCATATTTCCTGCCAGTGTTTTTTTGTTGCCAGAGTTTTATCATTACTATGAAGCAGGAGGTGGAACAGGGGTGTCCTCGCCTGCATTGCCGTTGGGTCTGCCTGCTCCCCCACTGCTCCCAGTGAGGGAGGAATCCCTTCAAAGACTAAGCTCTCAACTCCATGCTTCCCACTGGAGGGGAGGGGAGAACCCAGGAGGAGAAGGATCCAAAAGAGAATGAAACAGAACCTCCTTGTGACGCTAGAGTGGTAGGGCGGAGCTGGGGGGTGAGACAAGCACAAGGAAGACGATAGAACTGCGGAGGCACAGAGGGTTGGCAGGAACATGGAGGTGGTATTTGGCCATCGGGAAAGAGGCCTGGGAGGGGGGCGCAAAGACTCCGCTTGAGGAACATCAGGAGGTGAGGCAGGAAATGTGTGTTGGGGCCGTATCATATCATTAGTTTTGGTGCCTGGCTAAGGAACTTGTTCTTAATTGAATGGGTATGAGGCACCAGGCATTGAAGGCATGGCAAAAATCAAGACCACTCGCGGGGAGCTCCAGGCTGGATGGGGATCTCTTCTGTCTGGCTCCAGCGCTCTGACACCCTCCCTCCCAACCCCACCACCACCCCTGCCCACTCCACGTTGTTAGGTGTGGACGATGGCGCTGACATCCCCAGGGAGCTGGTGGTAGGCATCTATGAGAGGATACAGCAGAAGGAGCTCAAGTCCAATGAGGACCACGTCACGTACGTCACCAAGGTGGAGAAGTCCATCGTGGGCATGAAGACAGTGAGTGTCCACAAGCCACCTATCTTCTGTCTCCTTTCCTTCCTTCCTTCCTGGCATCTCTTCCCATTCTCTTCCTTACCTTTCCGAAACTCTTTCTTCGTATTCATTCACATAATAGTTATGGAGTAGCTACTGTATGCCAGACACTGCATCTCTTTTTTTTTTCTTGCCTAATTTCCTCATTGCCTCTTGCCACCAGATACTGCAGCAGGAGAATCTGAGATGAGATGTCAAGAAGCATTGCCTGGTGGTCTAGGGTGGAAGCATCTGGGTGGTCAGATGAGATTTAGTATCCCTTTCCTAGGACAGCATGACTACTAGGCATTCCTGGATGGTCCTGATGAGTAGAAGGCAGGAAATGGACTCAATAGGCTGTACGCTGTGGCATCACCATAGAGGTGCCTTACTGGTAGTGACCTGTGTCCCAGGCAGCATGTTCCAAGCCTGCAATGATTTTTAAAGTGGGCCTTCTCTGTAGGCTACACTTTATACTATAAAGGATGTCATGGGGGTTCCAGTTCCTCCTCCTCATATTGTTGGCTCAGGGGACAGTTTGGGGGAGTTTGGAGACCTCTTCTGAGGCTCTGCACTAGGCTCCCTCCACCCAGTCTGTGCAGGGACAGCGTTTTCTGCTTTGAGAGCCTTTATTGCTGAGGTCTTAGCATCTGTCTGGTTGCAAGCAACTGGTTTGTCTTACACGCTGGAGTAGACACCAGGTGTCTCTGTGATCCCTTCGCTCTCGCACACTTGCATCTGTGCAGTAGAGAAAGGGTGGAGGTGTCATATCTGCAGGCTGCTGCCTGGGACAGGGGATGCCCTCAAGGTTATAGAGGGAAGCAGGTTGACAGTGGCTGGATTGGAACAGCCTGAAAGCTCTTCTCAACGTCCTTTTCCTGTCCCTCTATCACCTCATTTACTGTGGCTTAGTGGACCCCTTCTCCTTGGCTGTGCTCCCCAAGAGGCATGACAGGGATGAGCCCTGGGGACATGGGGTGAGTATGTGAGGGAAAGAGCCTCAGAAGAGGAGAAGCATGAGAGTCAAGTCCAGGCCCCACCACAGAGCCGGAGCCCCTCCCCTCTCCCGCCACAGAGCCGGAGCCCCTCCCCTCTCCCGCCACAGAAGCGGAGCCCCTCCCCTCCCTCTCCACAGAACGGGAGAGCCCCGCCCTTCTCCCTCCACAGAGCTGGAGCCCCTCCCCTCTCCCGCCATAGAACCGGAGAGCCCCGCCCTTCTCCCGC